GGTTTAAAAATGATTACTTCCATTAAAAGCTTGATCGTATCAATTCTGTTACAATAATTTCAAAAATAAAAATTTCCTTCATTGAAAATTATTTTTTATAATAAATTTCAGATTTGCCATAGTCATTTATGACCTCTTGCCGTTTTTCGAGGAACTTCATCACTTCATCGGTGTGAAACTCCTCTGATTTAACAATGATTTTCAGCAAATTTTCGGACGGTAGAGCTCCAAGCTATAAGGTAGAGGCACCAGACTTGACCATGAGCGCTTGCATTAGATACCATATATCATGAATATTTTATCCATTGTTCATCGTCTTTAATAACTCGGTTTAAAAGTAAATCAATTTCGCTACGTTTGAAGAGCTTTTACTGATGTTTATTTGGTAGATTAAATTTCTTTCCGTTAATTCATGAGGTAACTAAACGTCGAGCGTCTTTGAGTAGTTTTCTCTTTATAAATGACATAAACTAGGATGTACTTTATATTTAATGCCTTCAATATATCCTGACAGATTGAGCGTTTGTCTTGTTCCACAGGATGCATAAAAATTACCAGAACAAATTCGAGGAAACCACTCCAAGGTCCAACGTTCACTCACAGCATCCGCTTCATAGACTGCACAAATATATCAGTATGTTATTGAATCAGTTTTATCCTTATTATAATACTTACTTACTTACTGAAGTCCATCTCTCCTAGTTGACGATAAATCTTATTTTCTTGCCTGCTTCTCCTGTTATTTTGTTTCAGGAGTACTGTGCGTCTTTAAGCTCCTGGTCTACGGTCCATTGCCATGTCTTAGCTATTGCTCTAGGACAGTGGCTACTTGTGGACTCCAACGTAGGGCTTACTTTGTAAATCAGAATGCTGTTTTCTCGAGCGTGTGACCAATCCACTTCTAGTTTTCTTTTTTGATTTCAGTGGCAACTTGTATTTGTTCCATGCCAGATTCAGAGTAAGATTTGAATTTGATGTTTTAGTTCCAGTCATGTGGATACTCAAATTTAAATTTGGCGCCTCCACATTTGATACACCTGCATCGCGGCAAGGTGATCCCATAGTTTTTGAAAGTTTTTATATTTTTATAATATATATAAAAATATATATATATAATAATTTTATTTTTGTAATAATAAATCTCACTCGTTATTTAGTCAAGACTATTAGAAATACAGAAAAACTTCGTATGAGTGAATTGTTTATTTTAAATAGATCTATAATTTTTAAGAAGACAGTTTTTATGTAAAATTAAATATGTCGGAGATATAACCAATCAAAGATGAATTTTATGGAAAAAATCGTTATTTTCCAATCTTTGAGGCTCTTGGGGCACCATTTCCACTTATCCAATTGAACTAAAATTTTACACAGATTATTTTTTTAGTAAAATGAACCGATCTGGGGGGTGCCGTCAACCGATTTTACGAAAAAAAAATTGGCCATATACCTTAATGGCACCCTAATATACATATTCGAAACAAATGCGAAACGTTAAATGAAATTGAAATGTAACTCGCAGACAATACAGTTCATATAATTACATAACGTAGTTCCTATCTAACATTTTTGATCTTAAAATATTCTTAATTTACTAATTGAAAGACTTTGAACACGAATTTGTTTATAGCCCTGCAGTCTTTATTTTTCTGAAGTTTTCTAAATGGCATATATATATCTCCTTTCGTCTTTGTGCATTGGCGTGAAATACGATTACATATATATCGTCTAATATTGGGCCTCTTCCGACTTAGTGCATCTGGGCACTTTTACTCTTTGATAGCTGGAAGATTTCTGCGGAGTCCCACCCATCTCACTAACTTATTTGTGTATTCCTCTTAACATTCTCATGTCATAATCCAAATATGTAAGGAAATTCATACCAACGCATTTTTGTGATGTCTGATAATTCCAGTTTGATTTCTCATAAATTCACAGAAGAAAGATTTTCCAGAAGTCTTTAAAAATTGACTACACAATGCTAACTAAAATACTCTTTTCTTTGTTTCCGATATTAGTTTAAAGTTATATAAGAAAGTAAAAATAGATCAGTTATTGAACTGATATTTAATTAGTATTCCGAGAATTGTTGTGATTTTTTTATTATAAAAGATGACATACAAGTAAGTTTAATAACTCTTGAACTAATAAATATTTTTTTTTTTTTTGAAAAATTTGCAAAAAAATCTATGGATGAGTAGTTTCAGAAGTTTAGGTTTAGAAGTTTATTTTAAAGCAGCTTTTTATAAATATTCTCTATTTATATGAAACTACTTCTTTAGGAAATTTGTTCAATTTAAAATGAAAAACATCAGTATATTTATGCTATATGTTTAGTTTCGCAATTAACCTTTACAGTATTTTATAAGTCATATTATGCACGGCTAGCGACGGAGCGCTGTCAAAGTTAAGTTAAAATTATATTTAACAGTACGAAAAAATGAATATTCTATCTCTGATGAGGAACTCAACAAATCCTTTCTAAACTATAAGTACACGTTTTTCATTCACAATTTTGCAAAATATGCAGAAACGCTTTCAGTGAATAAGCGTCATCACATGGCATTGATTTTTTTGTTTATCCTTGCCCTCGACGGAATATGAAAATCTGCTTGCACTATATTTGTCATACGTTCATGATATATAACATACGAGTGGAAACATCTATGCAGATTACGCTTTGTCATAAGTACTTAATGTGAGCTTCAATTCTAAAATATGAAAACAATGGATTAATGAATAAGTGGGAGACAGTCAACCCATAAAAGGTCACTAACATCATTATCTGCGGCAATTCCGCTACTACTCCAACAATTAAAGTCATTTAAGCCGTTTTAATTGTCATAAGCAAAGTTCATACTGATGTCAGGCTTCATTTCTTTTTATTTGAAATGCATAGTACACTGAAACGCAGACAAAAATAATTTTGATATCATATAAAAATTATTGAGAAATGATTAAACTTTTAGTTGTTTTTAATAGATTATAACTCTCTTTATAAAATCATCATTTCTCAAAATTCACATTTGTTTCATAATTTTTTTTTAATATTTTGCACTCATATCTCACAAATTGAATGAATATACTGAAAAGAAGAATTATACTAATAATTATTAATTGAATTAAACAAATGAAATACATATACGTATACACATATTTATTTGAATCTAAAGTAAGTTAGCTGGTCTAATAAAACCAGTGGAAACATGCTATTAGTGTGGAAAAGAAAAAAAATTTGTGGTTACTTAGGTTGTTCATTTAGTTCAAACCGAGATAGTGAGTGTTAAAGGATACTCTACCCTGTATCTGAGTCCATATATTTTCGATATTAAAATCGTTAATTTTACAAAAAAAAAATAGTAAAAATGAGATTGTAATAATCGAAATGAATTTTTGTATCCGCAAAATGGTCGTTTGATAATTTTTTGTGGATTTTCAGTGCCCCAGATGCGACACAATTTTGTTTATTGATTATTGATTGGTATGAATACACTTATTACAGAATCGCATTTTTTAAGTATTTTTTACAATTTCGATGATTATTTCAGTGGGTTTAAAGTGATCCATATCAATAATACGGCAATACTTATTTTAAAAAGCAAGAACAATTAATTAGATATTATTCTTAAGAACGTGGTCGTTTCTATTCCTCTATATGGAATGAAGTTCATAATTGTGAAATATTCTCAAGCGCATAAAATTCAATTAATTCGAATACTTCAACCAAGAACTCTTTTATTGCATACTAATTCCACAGACTGTGCTTCAGAGCAACTTAGAACCGAGCCACAATTTTTGAAATATATATTTTTCGATAAAACTCATTTCTTTTTAAACAGTTTCATATTCATAAACTTACAGCAGAACCTAAGTAAAGTCCACTAAATCTCATAAGCAAACAAACAACTGGTTCCATACAAAAATTGGTGTGGTAAGTAACCACATCTTATAAACAACACAAAAACACTCAACACTTACTTCAAGCTATAAGTAGAATTCATAGTTCAGATACCCATTAAAATCACACAGATACTCTGTAACTTAAAGTAGTACAACGAATTTTGGACGAATGAGACTTTAATATAGAAGGTTCTATTTTTTAAATTTAGAAAATGGGGGTACGCGTTTTTTGATGTATAGTCAACTCAATTTAAACTTTCAAGTGAAGTTCAATTTGACTTTTATATTGTCTTATATTACCATACAATACAATTGAAATTTTTTCTTCTTCGAGTGATTGGAAATAAAGGTATTAATTGTAAGTGTAAATTGAAGGAGATAAACGTGCACTGCAAAGTAGAGCAACATATAAAAAATCTGAAAAACTTCGGTATACCGTCAATCACCTATAAGCTATACCTGATATTTTCTTGTTTTGTGAAAGGTGGGTGAGACAGATAAACTACAATTTCTAGATGCTTAGATATTTTTTTGTGACTTAACTTTGACCGAAATTCAGTATACGTCTTATAGTTGTATAGAAAATACATTATAGTTTCTCTATTGATACCTTATATGTTGTCAATTTCTCGGCATAACCGTGCTAATTTAACCTTAATATAAGACAAATGTCATTTTATGCTAAATGTAATAATAATTTCTATATAATCTTACTATATTGTGTGAGTTCAAGATAAGGATAAGATAAGTATGGTTTCTGACATATTTGTTATATCTGCAAATAACAGCTCTGTATATATTATAGATTGTTGCTTTTTTCTTTAGATTAACTTTACCGCCATAAAAAGCTATCTACAATTATGGCAGCTTTTCAATATGAAATTTATTTTTATGAGGAAGAGAAAATTAAATGAAAAAGAGAAAATTCGGACTTGACGGACCCCAAAAAAGCTTAAAGATTATACATTATTTTACGACGTTGCATTTGATATAAAAACACTGTCAACGGAAGCGGAAAGAGAACATAGTTGATTGTTTTTTAATAAGAATGTAGATTTTATTTCGTACTAAAGCAATACTAATAATAAAACCACTATTGATGTAAGAAAATAATCAATTTGAATGAAAAATTGTAGATAATTCTTTAAATATTGTACATAATTTTAACTGTTATACTCAAAATAATCCATTTCGATTAAATAATAATAATTAAATGATTCCGTTTAATTCATTCTTATCGCTGTTGCGAAGATGTCACCACAAAGCAAATCCGTGGGGTCAGTAGGAGAAGTTGCAGTCATTGTTATCTTGTAATCGCCTGCCAAATTCTTGCTTGGCAAATCTTTTATAACAATATTGGAGAGAGAGTTAACTCTCAAAATGGTCTATAATAGAAAAGGATAAATACACTAAAGTGAATAATGGAACACAAAGGCAAAAAATATATTATTTTCGATGAACTGTTTTCAAATATCATACATTTTTCTTTGCTGGGCAAGCTTTCTGTTCCGGCGGTAAGTTATCTGACATCACATGCCAAGGTTCTTGAGAAGAAAATGCTGCTAAACACAAATCACTTCGATAGATATTATAAACGGTAGGAAGCCATTGACCCCGTTGTTTCTTAAACGTTTCGATAGACAACTAGAAAATACTAGATTGTCACCTGAAATTAATATATACAATTCTTGTCAAACCTTTGTGCCAAATGGTACGTTACGCACAATTTTCACAAGCCCTTTAACGTGTATGCTGTAATTGTCATAGGTTTTGAAATTCAATTGATTAGCATCCAAAAGTTTGTCAATAAATTTATTGGGATATTCCTTACATCTGGAAATCAATTTTTCATTTTCAAATTGCAAGCGATAGTCAGTGCTTTTCTGTAAAAATATTTAAAAAAAATATTAATAGTTGTAAATTACTTTCCGATTTAGAAAATGTTCATATAATTACACAAATTAAAATATTCATAGTAAGTAAAATAAATAATTCCAAGCGACCCATTTTGATAATTTTATATGCAAACTTAAATATTACTAAGCGAATTCTGCAGAAATTTTGCATTTAAATCAAATGTTTCGCATGTTTGAGATTGTGGAAATGAACCCTATCTTCCTACATAAATCAAATTACAAAAAACAATTATTAGAAAAACCTTGTTAAAAATTTAACAATGTGAGAAATTTATCACACAACATGTCTGCAATATAATTAGTTAAAGTTGCTGTTTGTTGTTTATTTTAAATACTGTATATTATACATGGTTCTTCAAAATAAATATTATTTACACGCAAATTTTACCCTCAAGCGATCGCTTAAATCATAAAAAACAACAATTTATAATTGTTTAGTTAATGTGTATAGCTGAGGTTTATGCGTCTGTTCCAAAAGTGGTGCAGCAAGTTCCATTGTCAAAATTTGAATTGAATTTGAAATAAATTAGCTGTACTTTGGCTTAGTTTATATATGTAACTCCATTGATGTAATTTGACAGGGGTCATTATCTAAAATTTGCAGTCAAAACATTTTATACAGACAATCAAACCAATAAACCTTTTCAAAGGTGATGGATATTTAGTGGTCCCCAAACATTTGTATTGGTTAGTCCAATATTTTAGTTGACTAAAAATTATAAAAAAAATTTTGAACTTTAAAATATCATCAACATTACCCCATTTTCCATTCGAAACAGATTATTTCTCATATAACATCAAGGTTTTTATTATAAATCCAGGAAATGATTTTTTTTGATGATGATGTCAGAGTAAAGTGGACATATAATACTGAATTTCTACAATTTCCACACCCCTAAAATACGATAATTAACAAGGCTTAATACAAAAGTATATTTAACAAATTATTCGCCTATTGCCTACGCTATTAAAATCTTTTTTTAAGATGTAAAGGGTATTATAACTAAAAATTAAAATATGGAAAGAGCAAAAACAGGCATTTCCTGAATTAATCAATTAGGTAACGCTCAATATAATTATTGTGTAAAATAATCTGCCACATACATACGCTCATACTTTCACCTATTGATTGATAACAGTACAGTCGATGGGAATACTCTCAAACCTACCGTTTAGTGACACCGATGTTGATGTCTCGGTTAGAACTGAACATAAATCACGTACTAACCTTTAAATGTTAATTATTGAGCTATCTACTTTATCAATTATTCCAAAATTTGTCAATATGTTCCTAATTACTTATAATACACTAGTATTAATTTATTCTTATTAGTACATTTTCTGCTTCTGTTCAGGAATTGAAATCTATATATAATTGGCTTTTACTAATTTATATAGCTTTATAATTTTTAATAAGTAGTGAGAAGCAGTCGGATAAGCTTCATTACTTATAAACTTAATAATATTATTAAAATAGTTTTCAATTTATTCCTTTTTTAAAAAAAGCTTCTAGGAATCTTTGAAAAAGAACCTCGGTTGGTTTTAATTTTTTGAACATAAAAGTCAAATACTGCTTTGGGTCAGTTGGTTAAGAAGCGCTGACTCTGAGCTTCAAATTTGTTAGGGCACGAGTTCAATTCCTGGTACTTTCAGTCTCAAAAACAAAAATAAATAAATTATATACCAACAATTAAATACAAGACCACTGAATTATTCCCAAGACCACTGATGATGGGTATTTGGCAATACTCGAAACAGCTGTATTGTCAGCCATATTCGAGTATATTGTTGTTGTAGTTCACTTCTTTTCGTAAACCTATTTATTTCTTATTTTAAAAATTAAATAAACTCTAATTTTGAATGACAAACAATAAAAAATAAAATAAACAATATATAATCAAGTTTATTTATATTGTAATAATAGCAGATAGCTGGTCAATATCTCTTTTCTATTCATAATTGGGCTGAAAACATCGTTCTCATTCTAAGTATTTACTATTCTAAGTATTTACTTAGAACTTTATTTCAATTATTATTTCCATTTATTATTATTTTATACTATTTGTTTAGGCTTTTTAAACAAAAACAATTTTAAAATACTACAATTAAAGGAATGTAGTGTGCACTTGTAAGTTAAGAGCACAATAAATAACAATTTCCTATGTGTTTCGATAAGAACTGAAAATGAGATAATTATTTTAATCAACTTAATTAATTAGAACAAACACAGTTTATAATCTGTTCTTGTCTACATTATTAATTATCTTAATACTCTGTATTATTGTTAACTCTAGTAGCACACGGCATGATTCAATTATAAAACATTATTTGTGAAATATATTTTACTCTAATATTTTAACATATTTAAGTGTAATAAAAGTATTGGAACTACAAATACATATATATATGGTTACTTAATAATGAAACCACATTATTGCAATTTTGAAATTTTAGAAAAATTTCTACTTCAATTATATTTTATGGAGTTTTATAGTTTAAAGAAAATTGTAAAGCTCATATGCTTAGGAGCTCCATCTATTGTTTTCACCAGCTGATACATAACAAGAACGCTTTCTGACTTCAACAGTTCGAAATGAAATGAAATTTCCCCTTTGTCAGTAAAAGCAACGTAGAGTTCAAAATAGCGATAAAAGAAACATTGCCATGTTAAGGGTTATAACCCTTAAATTATTTTTAACAGTATAGCATACCCCTTCTAGAAATAACATTGGAGAAAATAATAATAGTAGGCATAATCTGATTCAAACACCCTGCGAAGAGACAACTTTTTAAGAATGCTAAAAGCAATAGCAACACTGCTAACTTATTTGATCCAACTTCTCTAAAACTGAGTAACTGAAAAACACTTTAAAGCGTAACGATACCGAATACAATACATTCATTGAAGATAGATAGAAAATTTTCTTAAGTTCTTAAAAATAAACAGAACTTAAGACAGTAAATAATGACCTGGTCAACAAATACGGCAAAGAATATATATAATCATGTCTCAATTCTTTATTAAAGTTTTCTTCCACAGACCAAGGAGTATTTACTCCTCAGTGAAATGAGTAAATATACCATATATTTTGTTTTTTTGTTCGAGGTTGGGGAACAAAAAATGTCTACACACACCCACAGAAACGTCTTTCTGTGGGTAGTGCACGGTTCGCGCTAATCGCTGACATGCTAAAAACTCCTCTTTCCAGGATCTTTTCCAATTTTTGCAAATGCATTTTTTTTAATATTTTGCTTAAAATATTTGTATGAATGTACATTACAATAACCGGATCTATGTTATATCAGACAAGCTGCATTTTTTGCTAACCACATATTAAATACATGTAAGGGGTGTACTTTTAACTCCCAATAATAAAAATAGACTCAAAATTTCAAGTCTTAAGTGTCTATTCTTTATATACATTAAACTTGAATAGATTTCTCACTCCATTTTATGTATAATATCTTAACTATTTTCTAGTTTTGTTTCCGATCTTTTTTATATTGACTCATGGCCATCGTTTAAATAAAATTTCCCTTACTACAAACAGAGCATGGAGGGATACTCTTAACTTACACCAGTGATGAAATTATATGATAAGTTTATTTTAAATTTATATTTTTGGTTTAAGTTGTAGTTAGGTTTTTGATTTCACTTCGATTTATCTTTTTAGTTTTTTGAAATATATCCCTCTATCAAAAAAGCAAATCGTTTTTGTGTTTTTGCGTCTTCTGTTTTGTAAGCTCTTAAATTGGCCGTTTATGAGTACGTCATGTATTCACTTAATTTTTTTCTGGGAAAGTATCTAATAATTTGGAGTATGGAGTGAACTTGCGGAGTGAACTTGCATCATCATTTCATTTTCCTCATGGGAACACAATGTTATGTTTTACTGATTAATTTTACTTTAAATTCTAATAATAATAGAATTTTCATTTAAGGGATGGACTTAAAAACTGTCTATAACAGCGAAATGACTAATGCTCCGAATTGAATGTCTAGTTAGTTTATAATTTTGAAGTACTCATGAAGAACTTCGTTTTGAATCAAGTATTTTTTTCCACATTGGACTTGTCCAACTTCTATTTCTTAGCAAACGCAGTTTTAATTCAGATTGAATACCTTTCCGCCGCACTGATCCGATTTTGTTTTAAGAGATTTGATTAAAACGATTTTTACATTGAACTTTGAATCGATTAATTTTTTTACCGCATCATTTCGATGTGTTTGAAATTCTTCTTTTGATGAACATTTGAAAAGATAATATTTTGTCAATAAAATGTATTTAACGTTTTATTTTAACGTCGTTCTATATAAAACAAAATGAAGGACTTTTGAATATGATTATGAAGATTTTCCGACCTTTTGCTTGGAAGATGCGAGGACGACCTTTTTAAGAATGCTCATTGTTAACCATGTTTAGTGTATGATCTTACCTGTCTAATTATTAGATATACTAATAAATAAACAAATTTTCATGGAGTTCACAATTTAAAGTTTAAATCAAGTTAAAACCTCATATCTCTGACTTTTGCTCTTATCGCCTTTATCAGGGTTTTGAATGCAAGCCAGCATTTCTGCCTGCCGCGTGTATTTCTCCAACCTATTTCTGTAGTTTAGCCGTAATGTTGTTCTCAATTGAACTAGGAATGCAACCAACAGAGTAGTCAGATATTTACAGCATTGTGTTGTACTTTAAACAAATTTGCAGTTTAATAAATCTTTCTCAGAAATTTAATGAAAAATAAATTTATTTATTTTAAATAGATTATGTACGTTTAGTTCTTCAAAAATTATAGCAGTTAGTCTTCATTGTTTAAAAAAAAAGGATTTTATGGAGGATTAAGTGTGGACTATATCCAATAAATTTATATGTATACATATTTTTTCAATTTTTTAAAATTGACATGTATATGAGGACTTCTGCAAATTTATAATATTTGAAGGTTATTATTGGTTTCAATTAAAGAGATATTGTGAGAAAAAACGAAATTAAATAGGAAAATTTCTGTTGCATAGAATGAAAAAAATTTGAAAAAAAAGGTTTATAGTAATTAAAAGACTATTGCAAAT